GTGACTTCTTGACCAATATTTTTACCCGTGAGCTGGAAAATGCAAGTATTGCCAAACTGGTGTCTGACAGACCAGATGACTTCATGTACATTTGGGTGTAAGGACTGGGTTCTGGATTTCCATGTACGGAGGTCAGAGGGAAGTTGCAAAGTGTCTTAAACCAGCTTGATGACCTGAATGAAATAATAACCACGTAATACAAGAAACCAGTGAGGTAAATGGTGATATTCATCCTTAACCACAGGGACCCAAGAAAGACGTGACAGCTAAGGAATAGTGCATTTCACTTGGATCAAAGGGTTGTGAACTATGGTTTAAATGACAGAAAAATATTCTCCATTTGGTATGCAAAGGGCTTTTAAGATGTTAATGTTTAAAAAAAAAACTTCTGTCAGTGAAATTTGCAAGATAGAATATCTGTTATTTCTGTCCCTGCAATCAGATATAACATAAAGCCATAACAATAAATCATTCTGGTTCAGATGCAGCCATAGGTAAGAAAAAGCCAGTGAATGTACAGAAGAAATTTCACAGTCCTGACCCGTTTATGAAGGGGAACTGAGTGTGAGGGAGATCAGGCTCAAAGCCATGGCAGCACAACTGGGCTGTTTGATGAATGTTGTTGAGGAACCTGTTGGATGATAAAGGGAAAAATACATTTGGAAATCACATAATATACAATGGTTGGGTTAGGAGGCTTGAAGAATTAAATGTGAAAGAAAAACTTTCAAACAAATAGAAGAAAAATTTAGATGTAAATACCGTTTGGGGAGAGGGCAGGATTTCAAATTTCCAAAGCACAAGGTATGAGGGCAAAATTATTCAAGTACTTTAGAACTGAGGATTTTAAATGATAATATACCCCAAATTATCAGATTTCTGACAGAGTAGGAAAAGTTATTTGCAGTGTCAGTACCGGAAGAGGTTAATGCCAAGAATATTGAGAATATATAAGATGTGATTGAAATATAGGGGGAATATTCAAATTTTTGAAAAGTATTATAGTAAGAGACCTATCATCAGAAATCCCTTCCAAAGTACTCATCCTTGCCTTGAAAATACTTATCCCATCATTCTTGTCCCTTTCGGAAGCAGTTCTGGAAGTCACTTTTTGTGTCTTCAGTTGCACTCTAAGGTTGCTTCCGTGTCCAGGGTCAATTCAAAACATTTCTCCCGCATGGTTATTTGACTATGGAGAAGCACCGGAAATCACATGCTGCCAGGTACAATACAGTGACTACTGTGGATGAGGACACACTGTTGTTTTTATGAGCTGGCTTCCACCGCATAGCACTTGGCAGCAGCATTCACTGTATTTTAAATCACACCGCAGAAAGATACTTGTGAAGGGGACTTCCAGACCTGCTCCAGAAAGCAGCAAGAATGGGATAAGTGC